AGTCAACTTTCCAACTCAGTTTTCAGACAATTGGAATCATTTACCTTTTTAACTCGACTTATTTCTTTTTTCTGATCCTAGTAAGTGGTCAGTTTCTTCACATTCATCCTTAGGTGCTCCTGATGATGGTTTGATCTCTCTAAAACTATCATCTCATTCTTCTTCATCATCAGAATCCCCTATCATCCTAACTCTTACAACTAACTTAATGCTGGCTGGGACTCTTTCCGTGATTTTACTTGTGATAGCCCTTAGGTAGAATTCTTTTGTTTTCTTGCTGATAAATGTGGTTCTTACATAACTTCTTGGATTCAAGTTGGCATAAAATCTTTTATTACTTCTCAACGATTCTAAGTCAAGCCTGACTCTTCTTCATGGTTTACCTCACATTGTGCTTCTGCGATTTCCAATCGAAACCATTACTTCCATATCTATCAGCAAAACATTTCTCCAGAAAACAGGTGTCTGTTTACTATTGCTAGAAACCATTGTAAAAAGGTTTTGTTTAATGCTAAAGCCTGCTTTTCTCAGGTCATGAAATCTCTTATTTCATCTCAAAAATCCAAAGACTTATGGATAATCTTGAATAGTATCTATAATTAGGGCATATCTGTTGTTCCATCTCTTTTGTATGGTTTAGATTTTGTCACCTCACCTAAAGACAATGCTGAATTGATTGCTAAGAACTTTTCATCAATATTATCTCTTAATTCTACTAGTTAGGTATTACTTGATATAGTCAACAAATAGGTTGAACAGTTGCTTAATGTTAGTAACACTCCAACTTATGTATCTAAAGTGATTTTCTGCTTAGACCCTTCTACAGTTTGTGGTCCAGACAACATACCTGTTTTAGTCTTGCAAAAATGTTCTCTAAAGTTGTCGTCTATACTTTCAAAACTATTTAAGAAGTGCTTATCAGAGTCTTGTTTTCTAGACTGCTGGAAAACTACATTTGTTACCCCAATTTTTGAAAATTCTGGAGAGCAATCTGATTCGTCTAACTACTGTCCCATTAGTCTTCTTCCTTTTATAAGCAAGATTTTTGAATCTTTAATTAACAAACACTTAATCTCTCATCTTGAATCTAATAGCTTACTTTCTAATCATCAATATGGATTTCGGTCTTCTTGTACTACTGCTGATCTGTTAATGGTAATAACAAATAGGTTTTATCATGCATTAGATAGATGTAGAGAGATTAAGCCTTTCTTGACATTTCTAAAGCTTTTGATAAAGTTTAGCATGCTGATCTTCTCCTTAAGTTTTCTTATGGTGTTTCAGGTAGTATCTTTAAAATTGTTGAATTCTTTCTTACCAATCGTAGTATAAAACTTGTTGTCGCTAGTACTCTTCATATCCTGTATTTTCGGGGGTTTCTAAATGTTCTATCCTTGGTCCTATACTCTTTTTAATTTATATTTATGACATAAGGTGATCAAAACCAGATATCCGCTTTAGCTTGTTAAAATTGGATAAAACTTTTAACAAAATTTTGCTCACCCCTAGTTAAAACTTCCAAGTTAAAAATTTTAACTAGGCAATATTAGATATCCGGTCCGGTTTGTTAAAAACACAATCCAATTTTAGCAAACAGGGCCGAATATCCAGTTTTGCTCACCCTGTTTAACGACCGCCTAGAAATTCTCTCATTTAAGGTGGCATTGTTTGCTGACAATACTACCATTTATTCTTATCTCGATAACAAGCAAACAATCTCTGATTCCTTTTAGGGGACATTTGAGCTTGAATAAGGTCTCACTTCTTCTACAGCATCGGGCTCTCAGCATCTTATGAACTTTAAGTAAAATAAAACTCATTTTTTACTCAAATGAATTAACTCTTCTGATCTTTCTTGGAAACCATATATCAAATCGATTGCAAAGTTAGCATTTGCTCTGATTGCATCTCTTTATTGTGTTCGCCACTTTTTTACTCAGAATTTTATTCTTTATATCTATAAATCTCAAATCCATCTTTATATGGAATACTGTTGCCATTTCTGTAGCAGATACTCCTATGATGCCCTTTCTTATTTAAACAAGTTGCAAAAATGCATTATTAACCTAGTTTGAACTTCTCTAGCAGTCAACCTCCAACCATTATCATATCGTCGTAATGTTGCTTCTCTTTATCTTTTCTTTAAATACAATAATGGGCACTGCTCTAAAGAGCTAACATCTCTTGTGCCATCTCTAAAATTCATTCTTGTGTTACTTGTCATTTAATTAATTCTCATCCATTTACAGTGACAGTTCCTAAGTGCTCCGAAAATTCTTATTCTTAATTCGTCTAGTTTTTTTTCCTCAGATATCAGTTTTTCAGAGTTCACTCCTATCGTCTTGTTTTCCTTATTCATATATAGTTTGCAATCTTTTAATTTAATCATTATCTTGCTCAATAAACTCATTCTCTTCCAGAAACTTCCAACTTTGATAGTGGTTGCTTGCAGCCTTTTTGGAAGTGAGGATGTTAAAAAAAATTTGGAAGACTTGGGGTCTTGTATTAGTTAAACGAACATGTTCAAATTTGATATCTGAATTTTTTCTTTCTGATCTTTTATTCTAGAAAGTCAATCAAATGCAGTTAATGGCCAATCAAATTTTATTTATTTATTAATTTAGGACAATAGCCATACCACCCTTGAACTGTAAAGTGAAAAAAAATATGTGAGTGTTGAGACTGTCCATAACATTATTTAAAACAAGCTGCAATACAGGAAAACCTGTGCATAATGGGTGCCCAAACAACTTTTGGACGCTCTCAAAGAAACCCAGCTTCAAATCGGTCAACAGTTGAAACATATATATTCAACTGAAGGAGAATGTTTTCTTAAAAGAATTGTAGCGTGTTATGACACATGGATCCACCGCTATGAGCCAGAGTCGAAATGACAGAGCCTTGAGTGGAAGCATACAATTTTTTCCACTCTAAAAGAATTCAGGAGCCAGTCAGTTGCTAGTAAAGTCATGCTTACAATATTGTAAGATTTTCAGGGGTTAATTTATTGTGATTTTTTTTAAAGGATAAAGAATAATCAACAGCACGTCCACATACCACACAACTGACAAATTAAAAACTTTATATAAACTGTAGGAGATTTTTCTACATTCCCTATACAGCCCCGTTCTTACCCCTTCAGACTTACAATTATTTGGCCCTCTTAAAGAGGGTTTTTCAAAAACATTTTCAATGCAATGAAGAGGTCGAAAATCATGTGCAAAAGTGGCACATGATTTTTGACCTCTGAATATCAAATATCTTATTGCTGCTACAAGGCAATGCCGCTCCATCGACTGATGGGTCGGCAATCTTTTCTTTTATTATTCTTCGTTTTTTTCTTTTCTGAAAATGTCATATAAATAAATGTAACAAGAATAAGGCAACAATTTGTTACATAAATACACAAAATAGATATTATTATATAGATATTATTTATAGATATATACAGATTTGAGTTTCATTCAAAGTTATTGTAAATTACAGAAGGTACGACCATGCAAAGTTGGAAATGGTCCTTACATTTGGGGTATTTTTGTTCCCAAGGTCTCCATCGCATTTTTTGCAAAGATTTTCATTTCGCATAGGCATGAACATACTTAAGTTTGGAGTTAGTAATTTTAGTAGATAGCACAAGAGATGCAAGCTCAAAAAATTTTAAAAGTTAGATAATAGATAAAAATCCTCATGTGTAGGTTTTACTTAAACATGTTTTTCTTAAACATTTGACTTTAAGACAGTAAGAATTTCATACTGAAATTTTTATTTAATTTCAGAACAAACAATGGAACATCCGTGTTATGAACAAACTCAAACGATTAATTCAAAACTTGATTTTCCGTTAAAGTTAGTATTAAATCAATCAACTCCATTAAATTTATAGTTTCCTTTTTTTTTTTTTCTTCTAAGAATTAAAAGATTTTATAACATATTTTAAATTGAAAGCAGACCAGTCGTCTGGTTGAATATTTCTTGTTTCCACATGTGATTTTGAAGTTGTTCTGGAACGCGTTTAGGTAGTAAATTTGGTTTAACACACATATGAAGGATCACAAGGTCTTTCTTTACCATAATCTTTTGTTGAAACCTATCTAACTGGCCAGTACCTTTTAAAACAACTGTGTTTTTCTTAATCACTTTTTTCTTTCGCATTGACGTGACAGCATTTATTTATATTTATTACAAATTTAAAATTGACAAAATAATTTAACAAAAATTTTGAATTAATGTTACAGAATATAGAAAATACAAAATGTTCGCCTCCAGTTAATGACGTCATCAGCACAGTGAATAGACCTGTTATAAAGTGTTTTAAACATAATGAGTTCTACGTTAACGTAATGTGGACATGTGTCTTGTGCTTTAAACCATCGGTGTGTTGTTGAACATTAGTTATGGAATTAAAAATGAGAAGTAAATATTTTTTTAAACGTACTCTTTACTTTTTACTCAACATATTAACTCAAGCTATACCAAATGTAAAATTCTATAAAATGTTGCAAAACGATGAGAAAAGAAAACGAAATTTAACTTTTTGGATTACATGAAATATTCTACAATGTTTTGATATTTCTATAAAATTTAATAAGCAAATACAGAAATGATTATACTTGCATTTTTATATGTAAAGAAATATGCAACCCCGCGTTTAGTGAAACAGTGTAGTCGTCAGTTTTAGTTTCAGTCGCGCTTTATACATCTCAACAAAATGTTAGAGACGTGGATTTTCTGTGTTAATTGTTTGCTATTTATTGTTGACTATTATATTGCATCCATTATTTACTATTTATTGCACCCATTGCAAAGTGGGTATGTAGTCCAACTTGCATTACTACATATATTTTTACAATATTGCTAAACTAACTCTGTAATCTATTTAAGAAATTTTTAGTGTATAATTCAATGTAATGTCGTAAATTAAATGATTTATTTAGACTCGTGTGTTGCATTAAATAATCCGATAATTTTTTGAGTTGAATTTGATTAATATTTTTTGTTAGGATTCGTCGGAAGAAATTTCTGATGTTGAGAAAAAGCTTCGTGACAGAGCACTTAAATCAATGCAACGAGTAAAACGTCGCTCTGAGTCCGATTGATTTTTCTTTGCAAGTAAATCCCATCTTTCGAAGAGATGTCGGGAAGCATTAATGGCAAACTAATCATCGAGTTTGTTAAGTGCAAGTATTCGGAATATTTTTAATTCTGCATTTTGTAAGGGAAAATTACAATTTAGTATCCGTTAGACTCCTGTAATGTAAGGACTATTGAAAAATACTATGGATTTCTTTCGAGATATTTTATTATTAAGATTTTTAGTTTGAAATTTTATATAAGATTTGAAGAAAGTATTTCTCAATTTTAAATCTAAATTTTTGAAATCTAAAATACTTATTTATGTATATATTTGCAACAATTTTTTGTAATGTTTACAAAGATGGTTTCTTATGTTGAAATTTTTCTTCAAATGATAAAATCTATGTATAACAAAAATGAAATTGTTTTGGCTTGAAAGACAAGTAAAAGTTGTGAATTTCTTTCAAAAGCTACTGTGAACGCAATTTTTTGTCAGATATGAGGGTTGATATTGATGGTGTCTCAAGGTCTAAAAAGATATTTTATATTATTGGTTTGTTTTATATTTAAATATTTTTTTTTAATAAATCGGTTTTATTCACTTATAAAGCCAGTTTGCGTGTAAAGATTGCTGGCTTTTAATCGCACAGCTACTTTAAATTAGATAAAATATGAAAAATATTGGACCATTATTTAAGTCTTGGAATTTGTTGAATACAATGAAACTATTGTTTACGCGAGGGGCGCGGACTATGTCTCTTCTAGAAAGCCTATATGCTCAGAGAGTGGACGTACTTATACAAAAACACTATGCTCTGCAATTATTTGAAAGTTTATTAAAAGAAGCAGCAAAAAATTTGCCTTTTAGGTGATTTTACTTTAATTTTACATACTTTTTGTAAATGCAATGCATTTAAGTGTGAAGAGCCTCTAAGAAGAAAAATACTAAAAATAAATCATGATAAAATATAAACAGGAATAATAATCAATAGCCGAGGAAAGTTAAAGTCATTAATTACTATACTAATGAAAAGTTGCTATAATAGAGCGTTAATGTGATGCATAGAAAGTGTCAGTGATCGAGCAAGTTTATTCGCTTTATAAGTAGTTACCATGTGGTCTGTATTATTACCGAGATAAACATACATTATAGATCAGTGATGTATAACTAGATGTCTAACTTCGATCCGAAAAGTGAAGCCGCTTTTTGTCCTTTTTACAAATGGCGGATTAAATTTGTAAACAAATATTTTTAACTTTTCTTTTCTTAAAGTAGGTAAATATATTTTATATTTAAATACTATTTACGTAAAAGTGTTAGGCGGAAATTATAATATTTGTAAAATAATAATTTATGATTCATTAATTTATTTTTGATTAAAAAGGGTTAAAGTTTTGAATAGAAAAGTAAAACGACAGACGCTTTTAAAGCATTTTTATGAATTAAAATACTTTTTACACGGTCGTTTACAAGCGTTAAGTTTAGGTGCGCATGTGCCAGAAGTTCAGAGTTGGCTGCGTTTATAGAAATATCAAAATGGCTGCGGCTCTTAGCTACATAATCTTTTAATCCTAACCCTGACAGTGTTGCAACCATAATACTGATCTAAATCAATAAATAAATACCTTTTTTGTATTAGTAAATAATTAAATACGCTAACCAACTACTTTTGGCTAAAACTTTTATTTGTAACATTGAGTGGTTTGTTTATTTTTTAAAAATAAATTTTGAGAATTTCTAACTGTACAAATTTAAAAAAAACTTTTCTTTATTATTATTACTACTTTCTTTATACTTTGACCTTCTTTTGGTCGTTGCTTAAATTTAATTTTTCTGTAAAAATGTATTTTAACTCGTTTAGCTTGTTAAGAGCTTAGTTTTTTCTTGAATTTTGTTCTGGTGCATTTTTATAAAAAAATGCTTATATATATATAACATTTTTTTTCCTAGATGATTTTATAAAACACTTCAAGAAAACAATTTGATTATTAAAAGCACAGTATCATGTGCTTACTTGACAAAAGCTGAAAGCAGGTTTTACATTTTTTTAAAGTTTTAAAACTTTAAGATTTAAAAAATATGGTTGTATAAAGTAGACAATTTCTGTATTAATGAAATATGCTAATAATCTACAGATTGATTATATTGATGAATTTCAGAAATTTGATTGATAATTAAATCAAAAGTTCAATCAGTATGATACAACTTTTTAAATTATGTAATACTGAGAGATAAATAAATAAAATTTATCGATGATTTTGTTGTTGTTGTTAAAAGTATAATTAATAGATTTTATACAAACTTATTTTCTTCCCATGGGATACAAAGCTTCACAATCTAGCAAACCCTGACCTTTGAGCCAATGTACAAATTCAAACATGTTTACTTTAAATTTAGAGATTTTATTAGTGTATATTATAATACATTAAAACTATTAATGTTATATAAATGATGAGTTTAACTTTTGTGCATGTCTTTTTTCATGCCCTTTAAAACCTGTCTTAAATACAGAAAAATGTTGAATTAACAAAAACTTTTGATGTTTGTTTTTAATGTTTTAAAATTAAACCTGGGGAATTGATTTTTTGTAGTTATAAGGCTGCTCGACACTTTTTTTGCTTTTTTTTGATATCTCCCTTCCCAAAACGGTTTTGTGATATTTGTGTACCCCCCTCACCCCAGCCTCCTATTTCTTAAGTTACGTAACATTTGTAAACAAAATATGTCTGAGTTTTTGCTAAAAGTTTACTAATTAATAAGGAATTAAATTGAATTAAAATTCAATATCAATTTTTATCACAACGGAATTAGATCACACAAAAAAATAGCTATTTGTATAGCCCTAGACGTTACACATTAAGAAAGCCTTAACAATGCGTACGTTAAGGGCGGATACAAAGTTTAGTAGTTAGTTTATTAGTTAGTTTATTAGTTTATTTCGCCGTTAAAAATATTTACAAAGTACAACAATATAAAAAGTACAATTGGCTGGAGCAAGAAGAAGGCATAAAATAGCCATATCACCGAGCCCCAATAGTAATGCAAATAAATATCCATAATATACAATAATCCATAATATATAAGCAAAAGTATTTAAAAAAAGACAATTTAAAATGTTAAGAAACAAAATTGAAAAGAAAAAAAAAAAGTATTAAAATAATTGAAAAAAAAATAAAAAAAGAAATGATTAAAATATAGTAATAAAAATGACAAAAATTTTCTGTTTTTGGTTATAAATTGGATGTGATTCGACATATATATTTGTATATATTATTTTCTTTCAAAATAATTCAAAATTCAAATAAAAGTTCTGTTTCAATATTATAAAATATATCAAGAAAATTGTAGGTAACTTTAAGAGAATATATATATTCGATGAAAGTATGATAAAGACATTGAAATTCTTAGTATTGTTAAATGGTCTAGATTTTTAACTTTATGGTGCTAATTTAGTTTAATAAATTTTAAAGCTTTAAAAGTGACATAGAAGATCTGCTATATTAAAATCCGTAAGTACTAAATAACGTCTTAATTTAGATTTGAATTGCGGAAGTGTTTTTTCTTTAATATTAAAAATATGCTGAAAGTTTTTCCACAAAATTTGACCCCTGTACTGAATAGAATAAGAACATAACTTTAGATTATTCTTTTGAGTTACAAAGTTATTTTCTGAGAACTTGGTGGGGTATTTATGGCTTACTTCTCTAAAATAAGGATAGAATATCGCTGGAGACAGTCCATGTTTTATTTGATACATGAACTGTATGACGAGGAATATGTTAATTTTAAACACATTTAATGCATTGAGTTTACGTAAAAGTGGCTCACAAGGCACAGTTCTTTTTACTCCAAATACAATTCTACATGCATGTTTTTGTTTTTGACAACTGCTGTAAAAGAAATCGATCGAAGATTAAAAAATAAATAAATAAAATATCCATAAAAGTAATTTTTGATTAAAGAAAGAAAGAAGAAAGGTTTTGCTGTATTTTTATTATTTATTCAAAAATTTGCTTGTTTGTTTGAAAGTAGTTTTGCTGAAAGTTTGTTTCTTGTTGAAAGTTGTTTTGCTTTTTGTTATATTGTTGTTAAAAGTTTTGTGTTGAGAGTTGAAATTTTTCTTTGTTGATGTTAGGTTCAAAGTTTGTTTGAAGGTTATTTTGGAAGTTGTTGCAGTGTTGCGACCTTTTTCTTAAAGTTTGAAACTTGAAAGATTTGGAAATTGAAAGTTTTGTTGTTGTTTTTTTATTTTTTTCAGAAAAAGTGTTTTTTTTTTAAATTTGTATAAGTGAAAGTTGCTTTTAAAGTTGTTTGCCGGATTTGTGAAAGTTGTTTGCTTTTAAAGTTGTTTGCCGGATAAGTGAAAGTTGCTTTTAAAGTTGTTTGCCGGATTTGAAAGGTGATTATTGAGTGAGTCGTTATTGTTTTTAATTGTGCGAAGATAAATCTATCAATAAAAAAAAATATTGAGAAACTAATAATATCTAAGCTTGAAGATCAGAAGCAAAACATTTTAAAAGAAACTGAAAAACTATTAAAAAAACAAGAAGAGACTTTTACAAAAATAATGAGTTCTAACATAAAAATAATATCAGACAGACTAGATAAACTTGAAAAAGAACTTAGTTTTAATAAATCCCGAGTTGAAATGCTATAAAAAGATACTAGCGACATTAAAGATAGTATTAATTTCCAAGAGGAAAACATCAAGGAATGCTGTTTCAACTAAATTTAAAGATCAATGAAGAAATAAATACTTTGAAAAAAAATATATAGATCTAGAAAATAGATCTCGCCGCAATAATTGAAGAGCTGATGGTGTTACAGAACTATCGTCTGAAACGTGGGATGACTGTGCAAGAGCAGTTAAAAAGATCTTCAAAAACCAGCTTGGAATTGCCGATGATATAGTGGTTGAGCGAGCCCATCGAATAGGAAGTGTTAAAGACAAGCTACCAAGAACTATAGTCTTTAAACTCCTAAATTATAATGATAAATGCAAAATTTTAACATTTGTGAAAAAACTTAAGGGCACTGGAATTTTTATCAATGAAGATTATGCAAAAGAAACCTTAGAACATCGTAAAAAATTGTGGGAAGAAGTTAAAAGACATCGTAAAGAAGGCAAGTATGCAGTAATCAAATTTGATAAAATTTTTGTTAAAGATATGCATAATTAAAATAATGTAATCGCGGAAATGAAAGGAGATTCTAACTCTCACTGGAATGGCTGAAATTAGCAATTTTAAATATCAAGCTTTTAATTTTTTAAAAATGAAAACTTTAATAGATATAAATGTAGAAAAAGACCCTAATTATTCTCATGATTTAAATAATGATTGCTTTTACTATTATCCTAGTGAAATAGAAGGATCTCTTTTTAATTTCAATAACAGCGAACAAATTAAAATCCTTCTCGTAAATATTAGAAGCATAAGTCAAAACTTTGAAAAGCTCCTTTACTTATTAGAAGAAAATAAAAATTTTAATATTATTTGTTTAACTGAAACTTGGATAAACGCAAACGATTCAAGTAATAACGCCAACTTTTATCTTCCCCGTTTTGAGTTAATATCCCAAGAGGGACATACAAATAAACGCGGTGGCGGAGTTCTTATTTACGTAAAAGAAACCATTGCGCATTATGTTAGGAATGATTTAAGTGTTTCTGACGACGATAAAGAAATTTTAACTATTGAAATCTTAAACAATGAATCTAAAAATGTATTACCAAGCTGCTGCTATCGACCACCTGACGGTCTGAGTGAGAATCTGAACACGTTTTTTGAGCAAAATGTTATCAAAATAGGCATTAAAGAAAAAAAAAATGTTATTATTGGCGATCTAAACATGAATTTTTTAAACTACAAAAATGACTCTAAAATAAAACAATTTAATGATTTAATATTTGAAATAGGAGCAATTCCTTTAATTAATCGTCCAACTAGAGTATCAGCAAACTCAACAACTCTCATTGATAACATTATTACAACTGATGTCTTCAATAACAATATACAAAAAGGTATATTGAAAGCAGATATAACTAATCATTTTCCAATATTTATATCATTCAACTCAAATTCTAAAATTAAAACCAAAACTAATAATAAAATAAGTAAATGCATATATAATATAAACAATATTGAACAGTTAAAAAAACAATTATCACTGCTTCATTGGAAGCATATAAATTTTAATGACGACGCAAATAAAATTTATGAAAATTTTTTTTAAACATTTTATTCTGTCTATGATGCCAATTTTCCCATCTGTGAAAAAACAATAAATCAAAAAAGCTTAAATGCTCCTTGGATAACTAAGGGTTTTAAAAAATCATCTAAGATCAAACAAAAGCTATATATAAATTACTTAAAAACAAAAACATCTTTAAACGAAAAATTATACAAAGATTACAAACATCTATTTGAAAAAATTCGTAAAAAATTAAAAAAGAATTACTACTCGAAATTAATTGAAAATGTTAAGAACGACTCTAAACGTACTTGGAAAATATTAAGAGAAACGGGTGGAAAACAAAAAACTTGCTCAGGTTCCCTACCGCAGGTGATTAGAGTGGATAACAAAGATATTTTTGAACCTAGATTAATAGCTCAAAAGTTTAACAAATTCTTTATTGATATCGGTTCGAAACTAGCAAATAAAATTCCTAATACCCAAGTTGAGTTCAATAACTTTTTATCACCGATGGATGATTGCATTTGTTCAAATAATTTATCTTCTGAGCTATCATTTGAGGAGTTTCAAGTGTCGTTTAAATCTATTTAAAAAAAACAAAGCCCCTGGAGCTGATGAAATAAATGGAAACATAGTCTTAGAATGCTTTGAACAATTAAAAGATTTTCTCTTTAAAGAAACTAATATATGTAACTACCGACCTATTTCTATTTTATCAACATTTTCAAAAATCTTAGCAAAAATTATTTACAATAGATTATATATTTATTTTAAGGAGAAGAATTTTTTTTATAAAAATCAGTTTGGCTTTAAAAAAAATAGTTCTACTGAGCATGCAATCATTCAATTCGTCCGTGAAATCTCCAACTCTTTCAAAAATTCCCAATTCACTTTAGGTATTTTTTTGGATTTATCAAAAGCATTTGATACAGTAAATCATGGCATTTTGATTCATAAACTTAAATATTATGGAGTGGATGGTGTAATTTTGAAATGGTTTAAAAGTTATTTAACAAACCGAAAACAATTCGTTTCTTTTAACGATCCTTATCAAAAAAATGTTTTAGATATTTCATTTGGTGTTCCGCTAGAATCAATTTTAGGCCACTTCTTTTTTTAATATACATTAATGACTTGCATAAAGCTTCTAATCTTTTAAGTATTATGTTTGCGGATGATACTAATTTATTTTTATCTGATAACAATATTAATAAACTCTTCACTACTATGAATGAAGAATTCAAAATAATTTCTAGCTGGTTCAAATGCAATAAACTTACCCTAAATATTAAAAAAGCAAAATGGATTCTTTTTTATTCGATAACTAAAAAACGTTATTTACCCCCAACTCTACCTGATATTTTTATTGACCATATTGAAATAAAAAGAGATTGCACCACAAAATTTTTAGGCGTATTCCTTGATGAGAACATCACATGGAAGCAACATATTGATTATGTTGGTACTAAAGTTTCAAAAAATATTGGAATTCTTTATAAGGCCAGAATCTATATAAATAAAAAAGTTTTATCCCAACTTTATTATGCATTCATTCATAGCTATATGAGTTATGCAAATATTGCTTGGGCAAGCACTGAAAAAAGTAAGTTACAATCTCTCTATCGCCGTCAGAAACATGCAATACGTGTAATTAATTTTGCTGATTGTTTTTCTCACTCTAAACATCTTTTTTCTGAAATGAGAATACTTAATATTTACGAACTTAATATTTTTAATATTTTATGTTTTGTATATATATGTAAAAACAATCTTTGTCCTGCCATTTTTAATGATTTAACTACTTTGAAACCTACCAATAAATACTCTCTAAGAAATAATAACCTTCTATATGAGCCTTTTTGTCGAACAAGTTTTAACTAAGTTTGCATTGATTATCGTGCACCCCATCTTTGGAACAAAATTGTTTTGCCTAATTTTAATTTTGATCTACCTACTTCTTTGCATTTTTTTAAAGTTAAGCTGAAAAATCTTTTTCTCTCCCGTATTATCAAAATTTGACAATAATATTTATATTATGGAAATATTTATTAAACTTTATTATATTATATACCATGGCCTACTTAAATTACACGGCCTGATTTGTTGCATTTTCCGTAAAAAATTAAGAGGCCAGTTTTTTTACGGCTCAAGCATAAAAAAAACTGGTTAGTGCTATTTAATGTCGATCGTTTTAACATTTCCGATTTTGAAGAAATCGCAGACCTAGAACTGTTTTTTGGAATGTTATACGCATGCGTTACTTTCATGTTATTTCAAACAACATTAAAGTTTTGAAACCTCGTGGCGCACGTAATAAATATAAAGTATTTCTAATTATTAACTATTCTTTATTGTTTATTATTATATTGGATGTAATTTTTCTTAATTCGTTTTAGAGATGTAAATTTTTATTAAATTTAAAGTTATTAAATAAGTAATATTTTATATTTATTTTCTTGTAGTTCAACTTATTTTCAATACATTTTCCTAATTCGGGTATTTATTCTTGACTGTGAAATGAATGAAGATAGTTGTTCACTTGAATTAGAACTTCCACAAAGTAAGATCTCTTAAGTAAGGTTGAGGAATCTTGTAATGAGAGTGCTGATTAAAAAATGTGTATTTAACTTTTTTAAGAAACAATGATGGCAGTTGACTCTACTCTTTCTGTTGAAAAGCATTTTTTTGCCACATTTTTTTGGAGTACCATTTATTGTATCAGCTCTAACAAAACTTGACTGTCAACATGGAAAAGACAGAAATATTAAAGCAAAAGCTCAATACAGACAAATGAGAAATAAAAAAGCTGTATGTACAAAAAAAATTTCAATTTAGTTCAAAGTATAAATAAGTTTTAAAAGAATAATTTAAAGAAATCTTGTTTTGGATTTATTAATATTGTTTTATATTGCAATTTTTAACATCTGTTTTGTCAGTTAGTTAATAAACAATGTGAATTTTATTTAATTTTTTTTTTCTTAATCCATAGAGTACCGATCATTACTGTCAAAAAAGTAGAGTTATTCTTCAGGATACTAAAAAGTTTGATTGTCCTGCCATTGTGTATATAAAAGAAATTGTAGAGTTTCCAGAGTTTAAGGTATTGGTATTTATTAGTGTGACACGCTATAATCCTTATGTTCATAAACACATACTCTGATCTTAAACAGTTTAATAACCATTTTCTAGTATGAAAACCTTATAGCAAATTATTTCTAATTTTATAGCTTTTAAGAAATTCTTTACGGTTAAGAAATAAAACATCTAAAAAACTCTGTGTATCCTTAGCTAAGTCAGAAAATGTACATAAGTCCAGAAAGTATATTTTATTATTGCCTGATATTTCTGTTCATAGGAACCATCCAGTTGTTGAGGTCAGTGATGTAATTTTGTTAATATATATAATAATTTTATTTAAGTTGTTTTTGCTTTTTTGATTTTGTTTTTATTTTTTTTTTATTACTACAATATCTTTTTTTGTTGTTGTAGACTGCAGGAATCAATCTATTTCTGATGATCTCATAGTAAAAATTGGTGACCTGGTAAAAAAGGGTGTCAATACTATTTCTGAAATGAGGCGACATCTAGAGTTTTTCGTTCATGGAGAAATTACTTCTGACAAACCACAAAAGACAAACAAACGTTTCTTTCCAATGGATAAGACAATTCGAAATCATATGCTCAATGCAAGAAGAAAACTTCGTAGATCTATGATAGATCAAGAATGTTTGCTTGATAAAATTAGTGAATGGAAAATAGTCTTTCATGAGGCAATGATAAAGTTTAGACCAAAAGGTGTCAACATCATTGATAATATTGATTCAAAGCTTAAGGATTCATTATTGTTTGTATATCAAGACATGTGGCAGAAAAGATTACTTTTACGGTATGGACCTGAACTAGTTTTTCTTGATGCAACTTATCGCACAACTAGATACGCTCTTCCACTATTCTTTCTGGTTGTTAAAACTAATATTGATTACCAGGTTGTTGCCATTTTTGTGTGTGAGAATGAGACCACAGACGCCATCACAGAAGCATTAATGTGCATTAAGGAATGGAACCCTAAATTTCAACCAAAATATTTCTTAACTGATTATTCAAATGAAGAAATAAACTCATTAGAATCAGTGTTTCCAGGTTAACGTTGTTATTCATTTATTGTGTTTTATTTAATATTTTATTGTTATATGATCATTTAAACCAAATCCAACTTGCTGTTTTTAGGGTGTTCTGTTTTAATTTGTGACTTTCATCGAGAGCAATCTTGGGAACGATGGCTTTCTAAAACTGCTAATGGTTGTTATATGGTAAAAGATGCAATTAAGTTAAAACTACATCAAATTGCTCATGCTAAAACAGAAAAAATTTGCCAAAATGCTGTTAATTCATTAAAAGAATCAGAAGAGTGGAAAAATAACCCAAAACTAGCTGATTACTTAAATAGCACTTGGTTATGTAATCAAAAGGTTGATTTAATTTCATTTAAATATAACAAAATTGAAATATTTTCATTTTCGTTCATCATTAAGGGGGTTCTTATTAAGATAATTTTGCATACTATTTACTCCGGGTTGCCAAATTGGCCTCTTCATAACCAAATCCATAAATCTGACCGGTGCAAAAAATAATCTGCTGATTGCCAACATGACTTTGTTTGGCTTTTTTGTTCCAATATTTTAAATTTTTAATTGGCTTAGGATTTTTATTTTATTAAGCGTAAACTAATGTAATTTTCAAATTTTTATATTATTATTGCCATTAATGCCTATTTCATTTATAAAAATGATTATATAAAAAATTTTAAATTTTAAAGAATATATACTAATTTAAACGAAAACAATTTTATAGATTTAATTATCAACACTTATTCTCTCTGAAAACACAAGTTTTCCCTTTCTTTTGTAACAATTCTTCTTTTTTAGAGATGGGTGTTTGCCTACAGGCGACAACGCTTATTGCGGAGTATCAATACTAATAATGGCACTGAAAGACAAAACCAATCTTTTAAATATAGTTTTTTGGAAAAACGGAAAACATCATCTCTCACAGCTATGCTTTGTATTTGTATTGAGGAATTCCTTCCTCACAATTACGACAAGTTAGTTATTTTCAAGTTAAAACCACCTACTTTGGATCCCTGATCTATAAACACACACACATGAATATATATATATATATATATATATATATATATATATATATATATATATAGAGAGAGAGAGAGAGAGAGAGAGAGAGATCAGGGATGCGGAATACCAGAGCTTCTTTCTAGTTCTTGATATCCCATAGGTCTGAAAAGAAATAAAGTTTATGTATTTATAGTAGAAAATAAAAATAATACTTTTAGGTAAGAGGAGCAATCATTTTTTGAACCCTGAGTCCTTCGGTAGAATGACAGCAAAGACTCTAAGATAACCTTAAAATGGTTATTTTCTACGATTTTACTTGTGCAAATAATATTATACAATAAATTGTAAATATATAGAGAGCGAGAAAGAAAGTGAGAGTTTACATACATATAATATATGATTTTATATATTTAAGTATTAAGTAAAAAGCTGTTTTGGTAAATAGCAAATAATTTTTAGTTGTTGAATGTAAATTAGTTGAACATAAATTAAACAATCACTTTTGTTATTTAGCTATGCAGATAAAAATAGAAGAACACATTCATCCTATAGAAAATATAAAGAAAACATTCCAACCTATTTGACAAATCGTCCAAAACCTTTAGTAAAACATTGCATGAATATGATAGATAAAGTAAATGGTGTGGACTCAATCAGAATTAGTGCAGTAACAAACAGATTGTACAATGTAGCCTCATTTCAGTCTAATAGCAGAGAAACTTACCAATGCTATCTTGGTGATGCTGATCATTTGCCAAGTTGTACTTGCTCTTCTTGGCTATTTAGTGCTTATCCATGCAAACATTTTTTTTCCATTTTTCTCAAGTTCAATCTTTCCTGGTCTGATTTTGATCCATCTTATGGAAGTTCACCATATTTTATCATTGATCCCTTATCAGATGAAAATAATCATTCAACAACGTTTCATTTTACACGTTTGCCTACTGAAGATATATCTGAAAATATCAATGAGAAGCCTCTTGATGATGCCAAACCTTGGGAAGTGTCTAAATATAATCTTCAGGCAGTCAAAAGTGTTCATTCCATAAATAGTAAAGTCTTGTACTTTGATCAAAGTAAAGAACATGGTCAATCACAAGTAAGTCACACTCCTGCTGCATGTCGCGAACTTTTAAATGCAATAATAAACATGACACATTTGAGTGACTCTCAACCAGCAATAAACAATTTGTTTCAAGAACTTCATAAACTTAAAACAAGTTTTGGAGAAACTCTTAAAAGAGAGCAAGGTGTTATTTTGTGTCCGGACCTAAAACCTGAAACTTGGATTAAATCTAATTTACCAAGTCTTGTTAATCTTCCCGTAAGACGCAAAAGGAAGTTGACCAAAAGAGTTGGTATAAAACACGACATCACTTAGGCAGCTTTAAATATCAATGTGACACCAAATGTAAATAATGAATGTTGTAGTTCAGAGATTTTTACTGATGTTATTGATGATAATTGTGAAACATTTACAGTTTCCATGGAACCAATTGAAGTGACAGGAGAAGCATTTGATAATTCCACAAAGTCAACATAGTTAATGATAATGACAAACTTCAAAGCACTGTGCACTGCATTCAGAATCTTAAATGCTCCTTGATCCAAAATGTTGAAAAAAATGACATAGTTAAAGGAGAAATGCTAAACGATAATGTCATACACTTTTGTCAACGAATGATGTCAATTCAATTTAACATTGATGTTGGTCTTCAAGATCCCATTAAAGGAAAGGTTATGTCTTTTGATCCTTGTCCTAGCAAACCTTTTGTACAAATTCTTCATGATGGAAATATACATTGGGTTTGCATTACAACTTATGATTGCAAGCCTGGAGAAATCTATATTTTCGACAGTCTTTTTCATGGTTTAATAAGTATTGAGACTAAAAGACAAATATGCTCCATCTTACACTGTTCACAAAAAAAAATTGTTATTAAAGTTTTACCTGTACAACAGCAAACAAATGGGGTAGATTGTGGGCTTTATGCTATTGCTTGGGCACGCCAGGTACTAGAAACAAATGGTATTCCACCAAGTACTCATATGTTTGAGCAAAATGAAATGAGGAATCATCTTTTAAACTGTATACTAAATAACCAGTTAGATGTTTTTCCAAAAGCAATTACCCCAACTATGTTTAGAAGATGCACAGCAAAGAGTTTTCATATTCCTCTACATTGTTCCTGTCGCATGTTTTGGACCCAAAAAGATGAGCATATTTTTAATAGGTATGTTATCATATACAATATTATGTTTGTGCATAAGATGATATTACACATACTGAAGGGGTATGTAGAAATTTTTAGTTTTTACAAAGGCTATTTATCATAGTGAAGATGAATGTCGATATTAAATTACCACTTAACTTTGGTATGCGTATATATTATTTATAACACCAAATTCATTTTAAATTTTCAATTTTTTGTTCAGACAAATGGCACAATGTTTTACTTGTAACAATTGGTTTCATCGTGAATGCGAAAGTATTCCACTGTGTGCATATGAGAAAGAAGATGTTATCTGGAACTGTCATGACTGCCAGATGCAAATAACAGAAAGCTGAAGTTTTTCTGTTTCCAGTTAAGGGTTTGCAAAAAAAAAAAAATTTTTCTTGTATAGTCAGTTATGAATGGATAAAAAATTTTCAAAAATGAAAAGACAACTAAAATCGGTCCTTCAACCGTTACACTAAAAGTTGGGTTTTGAAATATTGGAAAGGTAACCTGTGATATTTAACTGTGAAAAGGTAACAACTTTTAAAAATATGATCAATTTGTTTGTGTGATGGTAAGTTTATTTGCAATCTTGCATGTAATAATAATATTGTAAATGATTATTTGGTAAATGTAAATGATATATGTTTTTATTATAAAATGTTTATTTTTCATTACAACTCAATGAAGAAAATTATGCTAGTAATGTTGCTACTGGGTATCTTTTTGCATATAGTTTATTAACGGTAACAAAAATGAAATGATACTGGGATTGCAATACTTTGGTAACGATAACAACAATCAAATGATACTGGAAATGCATTTAGTTGGTAAATATAACAACGATTTAATGTTACTGGAAATGCAAATAGCTTGGTAATGATACCAGCAATCCAGTTGTTGTTACTGGAAATGCATATAGCTTGGTAATGATACCAGCAATCCAGTTGTTGTTACTGGAAATGCATATAGCTTCGTAATGATACCAGCAATCCAGTTGTTGTTATTGGAAATGCATATAGCTTGGTAATGATACCAGCAATCCAGTTGTTGTTATTGGAAATGCATATAGCTTGGTAATGATACCAGCAATCCAGTTGTTGTTATTGGAAATGCATATAGCTTGGTAATGATACCAGCAATCCAGTTGTTGTTATTGGAAATGCATATAGCTTGGTAATGATACCAGCAATCCAGTTG